AAAGCTACTTGTTGGCATTTTCTCATTTCATCTTGGGAACTAGCAAGTGATAAGAAGAACTATCTTCTTTTCTTTTTTTTTCTGGAGGGGGACATCTCCCTTCCATTTGTACTGTGCTCCTTACTTAGATCATTTCCTGCTGGGGCAATTTCAGGTTCAACCTGTTTTTTCAAGGTATGAATCATGTAAGTGACTCAAATCCAATTTGGGGAGAAAAAAAAAAAGGCTAAGCTGGCTGTCTATAGAGCATCAAAGCTAGTAGTGAATATGTATTATTATTCATGGAACTTTTGGCAAACACCCACTAAGGCATTACTCATCCATTCATTTTGAAGCAAAAATATGCTTAATGGATGGTGGTGTCTTATATAAAGACAATTAAGTACTGTTTTCTGAATGCGTAAGTTTGTTTTTGTTAAGTCAGATCCTTATTTTTCTCATGGGGAAACAAAACTTAGAAGTTGTAGTTACTATAAACTTGTCAACGATGCTGCTGTTTTTCTTACAAAGGGGAATTATGGAGTTCCTTAAACTCAGATATAGCATGATAATGAGTTCATATGTCAAATATGTATTTTCTAAGTCTCAGAGCTGGGAGAGACCTCACAGATTATACATACAACTTTTCGATTTGACTAATGAGAAAAGGGAGTCTCAGAGAGGGTGAATGATGTACTCAGCCTGTGGAGGAATCAGACCTGGAGTCTCAATCTTCCGTCTTTCCACGGGCAAGCGCCCTCCCCAGGAACAATCATGGTGGTTATTACTGATTGATTACGAGAGCAAGGCACTTTCTCTTATGCTATGCCACTTGATACTCACACATCTTTGTGAGGTAGGTATTGTTATCTTTAGAGAAAGAGAGAACAAGGCTAAGAGAAAATGCCACTTAGCCAATGATTTACTGACTAGGGTTTGGAAAAGCCAGACTCTGATCCCGAAGGTCACATTTGTCCCACACTCCCGCCATACTTTCCACCACCTTTCTGTACCCCGTGCTGCCAGGGAGCATTTTCTTACGGTTGCTGTCTTTGCTTGTATAACCAAGACCCGAGGGGGATGAATGACAATCTGGCCCCAAGTTGATATGTTTGCCTCCGTGATCATTTGTTTCTTCATTCATTCTTCTCTGTGTAAAAACACGGAGTGAGTGCTGTGAAAGATAAATGGGTGACAATCAGACCTGCCCCGTAAGATAGCCAGAGCCTAAAAGGGGGTATAGGACTTGCTCACAAGTAACTGTAGTAGAAGATAGAATGTAATAAGAAATGACCAGGAGTACAAAGTGTTACAGGCATTCCTGTATTGGAAGAAAATAAGAGAATTTAGTACAGTTGAAGAGTTCTGGGGAGAAAAAATATCTTGCAAAGATTATGAGTTGTTTCACTTTTTGGCCTGTAGGTGGGGGAAAAGAGCACATGCTCCTGGAGGTTTTCTTCTTTGAGGATGGGGGTAGCGCTTTATCAAAGACTAATTTGAATTAATGAGCCGGAAAGATGAGGAAAATTGGATTTTCCAAATGGGCCCTTGGAAAATAACAAAAAAACTTTTGCATTTCTGGTCCAGGCTTCTCACCTGTAAAAAATGTTGTAAGCTAACTAAAATGTAATTAATAACTAAAAATATATAGTTATTACATTTGCTGAGCTTGCACCCTGAGTTATGTAAATCTGAATGAAATGGTACATAAGTAAACATTCAAATTTTTATGGAAATGAATAAAAAGTTAGTTGAATAGGAAGACATTCAATTGAGCAAGGGCCACCCTGTTTTTTAAAAAAAAATTTTAATGTTTATTTATTTTTGAGAGAGGGAGAGCGCGAGCAGGGGAGGGGCAGAGTGAGAGAGGGAGACACAAAATCCGAAGCAGGGTCTAGGCTCTGAGGTGTCAGCACAGAGCCCGATGCAGGGCTCGAACTCACCAACCATGAGATTGTGACCTGAGCCGAAGTCGCACGCTCAACTAACTGACTGAGCCACCCAGGTGCCCCAGGGCCACACTGTTTTTGCCGGGATATTTACAGCTCTAAATGGCTGTCCTATGGGAACATAAAATATAGACTCAAATATCTGGTGAAATTATACAAGATCTTCATGACGTCTTTGCGCGTTTGAAACGTAAATTACTTAGACTGAAGGCAGGTCAGAATTTCAAAGCAATTTTAGATGTTTTTGTTGTTGTTGTTCACAACCTAATACCCTGGAGAATTCTAATTCTGGTTTTGAGTTTCTTGGAACAATGAAAAAGAAATGCACTACGAGTGAGAAGGGAAATAGGCTCTAAGACCAGCTAGGTTAAAGCCGGTAGCAACATGAGAAGAAAATTGTTACTTTTGAAGGCCTTCTTCTTCAGATGTATTATCACTGTGCTCACAGCCTAGTGTCTAAGTTAAAAGAATAATCATAATAACCACAACTTCAAGAAAAGGCATACAGAGGACTTCAACTGCATCTGCGATATTATATTGCTTCCGAAACATCGAAGTAAACGTGGGGGAGATGAGAACAATGAGGATCGTGGTGACTAAGAGCCCGGTATTTTGCTCTCCCTCTTTCATTGTCTGTTGGGAACGTCTCAGGATAAAACCCCTGCCCACGGGCTTTAGGAAGACGTGATCATTTTTATAAGTCATCAGATCGTTCCGCACACCCACTCTGATAGGGGCGTTTTGATTCACCGCTGGGGACACCACAGCACAGAAGTGACACTGGAGAGTGACTAGAACTTCCCACCACTTAGCGGAGGTAGGGAAAGCGGCCAGTGGGAGTGGAAAATTTGGAGAGGCAGGAAGGCCTCTGCTGCTGGTGGCAGTGCTGTGGGCAGGCACGTGGTGGGGGCGGGGCAGAGAAAGATGGGGGTCCTCCCCCGCCCTCAGAGTGGGTTTCCTCACTGCTGGGAGTTGCTGGGCCCCTTCTGAGGGAACCAAAGAATGCCTTCCCAAGGGTCTCGGAAAGGTGTCCCACCCGCCAGACCTCTCAATTACTGTGTGAAATTTCACGTGGAGTTTAGATTTTCAGAGACACAGGGAAGGAAGCCCTGTAGGATCCTAAACTAGGATCCCTGACCCTCTTTCGCTTATAACTGTCTTCTTCTGTTTCATAGTGTGGTTTAGGTGCGAGGGCAGGAGACTGAGCTGAAGACGGCCTTACCTAAAAACATGGCGGTCGAGGGAAAGCACTTCAGAAAGTGTCCAAATCTTCCAGGATGTTCTCAGCCCAACACTAGTATTCTGTGAGTTGATTCTGCTGAATACGATTTATTGTGGGCCAGGCTTGGGTGACCTCATAGCTGTCAGGTATAGTTTCAGTGAAATTTGTAATCTAGGTGAGGAGTGTTCTTGATATCCGAACACTGGGTGCTTCTAATGAGATAGTTACTATGCTAAGCATTTCCTTCCTTGTGTGCATTATTTTATTTAACTCACACCATTCTTTAAGATACAAAGTTTTGATTATGAGGAAATAGGCTAAGAAGTTCAAGTAACCTGACAACAGTCACTTGGTCCACAGTAGAGACAGGATTTGAACCCCGATCTGTCTGCTGTCATAGGTTATGATCTCTTAAAATAGCCCAGACTGCCTCCCCTTTTTTCATGCTCATCCTTGGAGACTTTAATCTTACTTTATGTACTTTCTTAAAATTTTTTTTAATGTTTATTTATTTTTGAGAGAGAGAGAGAGAGAGAGAGAGAGAGAGAGAGAGAGAATAGAGTACAAGCAGGGGAGGGACAGGGAGAGAGGGAGACACAAAATCCGAAGCAGGCTCTAGGCTCTGAGCTGTCAGCACAGAGCCTGACATGGGGCTCGAACTCATGAACTATGAGCCGAAGTCGCACGCTTAACCGACTGAGCCACCCAGGTGCCCTAAGGACTTTCTTTAGAGATGGGGGTGGGGTATATGGAAATGTAGCAGAAGACCATAGTGGCAGCTTTAGGGCTGGAGTAAGATGTCCCTCCTCTTCTCCAAGTTGGTCCCTCTGGATCCTATGTCCTCATATCTCCTTGGGGACATTTGGGGACACTGTGCATCATTGTGTGGATGTCCATCTACATCAGTGTACAAGCGTCGCCTCAGGTGTGCAGGTCTCCCTTATCTTTCGAGAAGCCCCCCTTTACTTGCCACCCGATATGGCATCTACTAGCTGGTGTGTACTTGGCGTAAGGTCAGTGTAATGGAGGAAGTGTATTTGTCATCCTTTTTTTTTTTGAGTTTTATTTATTTAAGTAATCTCTACACCCAATGTACAGGCTCAAACTCATGACCCTGAGATCAAGAATCTCATGTTCTTCTGACTGAGCCAGCCAGAATGAATTTTTTTAAATTTTTAAATCTTATTTATTTTTGAGAGAGAGAGAGAGAGAGAGAGAGAGAGAGAGAGAGAGAGAGAATCCGAAGCAGGCTCCAGGCTCTGAGCTGTCAGCACGAAGCCCAATGTGGGACTCAAACCCACAAACGGTGAGATCATGACCTGAGCCAAAGTCGGATGCTTAACTGACTAAGCCACTCAGGCGACCTAAACCAGAATGAATTTTAATTAAGTTTCATTTTAACGTAAAAAACTGAAGCAGTATAAACTATTTTCCTATTAAATGCAAGCCTACCATTTTTGGCAGATCTACATTTCACTTTAAACATTGCATTACGTAGGTTACCGTTGTGTTGTTGTGCATGCATTGTGTGAGTATGTATCATCTAATATTAACATAAATACATCACCTATCTAATTGGTCAGTGGATGGATTCGAGCTAAATTCCTTTTTACGTGTACAGTGTAACACTGCAGTGTGTTTATTTGAATATTTTATGCAGAAAGCCCAAGTTACAGTGATGCTTAAGTGAATCATAATTGGTCAGTACCTTCAAATAGTATTATCTTAATTACAATATCTTTAAATCATTTTTTCTCGCAGTCGATGTTATAGTTACTTGTGTATAAATCTTATACCCTCTATTAAACATTGAGAATCTTAAGAAGCAGATCTTTAAGTATGGAAAACTTTTAAGTGTAAAATGAAGGCATTGGGGCACCTGGGTGGCTCAGTCAGTTAAGCATCTGACTCTGATTTTTGGCTCAGGTCATGATCTCAGGGTCGTGGGATCGAACCTGGCGTGGGGCTCCATGTTGCTAGAGAAGAGAATCTGCTTAAGATTCTCTCCCTCTCCCCCTCCCCCCCCAATAAATGAATAAACTTAAAAGAATAAAATGAAATAAAATGAAGATATACTACTGATGCAAAATGGAGTAGAGCCATAGAAGCTAGTGTTAAAACTGGAACAGGGCTGAAAAGCATATTGGAAAGAGGTAGATTACCAATTTCACAGCGAATGGTCATTGCAGTTTGCTGAGGCAGAGAAAAATGAAAAAGCGGTTACGTGAAACAAAATGCACGTGTGTTGTCTCCATCGTATGACTATTGAGAAGTACTTCCGAAAATGAGTTCCAGAGAATATGAATCAGGTGTTTGTAAAAGAAAAAAAAAGCGTTTGTGGTCCAATAAGTTTTGGAGGTGATGAGTATTTTATTTCTTTATTGGAGATTCACAATGTAACTTAGCATATTGAAAGCATTGCAGGGGCACCCAGGTGGCTCAGTTGGTTAAGCATCTGATTCTTGATTTCTGCCCGGGTCATCATCTCACGGTCCATGAGTTGGAGCCCCATGTCAGGCTCTGTGCTGACAGCGTGGAGCCTGCTTGGGGTTCTTTCTCTCTCCCTCTCTCTCTCTGCCCCTCCCCTGCTTGCATGCGCTCACTCCCTCTCTCAAAATAAATAAACTTAAAAAAATTTAAAAAAATGAAAGCATTGCAATATGTGGTAAGAAAAAAATTTTTTTTAAAATTTTTATTTATTTTGAGAGAGAGAGAGACAGAGTGCAAGTTGGGGAGGGGCAGAGAGAGAGGGAGTCACAGAATCCAAAGCAGGCTCCAGGCTCTGAGCCATCAGCACAGGGCCTGATGCAAGGCTTGAACCCACGAGCTATGACATCATGACCTCCGCCAAATTCAGAGGTCTAACTGACTGAGCCATCCAGGCTCCCTGAAAAAAAATTTTTTTTAACTTGATTTAACCCAGTGTCTCCTGAACCTACATTACCATTTAAAATTATGTTCTATTTTGTTTTATCTATTCAGATCACCTGCTGAAGAACGATACTGTTATTGCAGCCAAGTTTGGTGACTCTTATTCTCATGCAGTAAAGCTCTGGGCCAGGGGTTCTTGGCTGGTGCACTGGCAGAAACTGGGCTTGCCCCCTTCTAAATAATGCAGGCGGATTGTCTGGCCTTTGATGTGATGTGAACCGAAGAATGAATACAATTCAAACTAAACAAATAAGGCTCCAGGAAGTTGAGACTATGTGGATTGCTTTTGGCTGAGTCACTTGGAGGTGACAGTGATTCTGGAGGATAACCAACAATTTAAAAACTGATGCTGTAAGCCTGGGGATTTTCTTTTTGAGGTGTGCAAACTCCTTCTGGAATCATCTTCCTGGTTTGGGTGGTGCTTGGTATGAAACAATGGAATTTCTATGTTCGGCTCTGATAAGGAGAGAGGTGCCAGCATGCGTTAGGGCTGGAAAGTTACCTTCTTAAATTGAAGAAGTGCTTAGATACAGCTTAAGAGCTGTAGAATGATCGGGAACGTTTTACACAGAACGTCAATAAAGGTAACTGCAAAATGTGCACATCACGTGTTTTTAAAGACACGTCTCTGCTGCTCACGTTCCCTTACATGTTATTCCCAGGCGTGTTCGGCCCAGACCCCAGCTGGGATCTCTGAGGAGGGCGGCACAGACAATTTGGGACCAGAGGCAGAGGAGAAGAAAACGGCCTTCCAGGTAAAGGTCAGCCTTCGCTTGAAAGAGCAGTGTTGGGCGTGCAGGCTCAGGGGAAGTCTGCAGAGGGCAGCTGAGTGCTGGAAGGAGGTGGGGTTAAGTCTGGCCCGGCATTCTGCATTTAGACACGACTCTGTGGTGCATTTCAGCTCGGCTTCTGAATCAGTCGTCTTTTCCAGCGTGACTGTCAGCCTCTCGGTGAGCTCAGCCCTAGTCTCTGCCAGTTTGGACGTAGTCTATCTTGTCCTCGTGTTTGCCTTCTCCTGAGAGGGCTCTTTTCTAGCATGCGTGGACACCTCAGGCTGTGGTCCATTCGTCTGACCTGCTTGTCCGTCCCTCAGTGAGGGCACTTGGTCACCCCAAGCCACCACCATACAAATCCCCTCCCCTGCTTCTGAATGCCTCTCTGATGGGCTTCGTGTCTGTGGTTAGATCTCTCAGAGCTCTGTTTCCTTCTCTTTATCCTCAAGCCCCAGTTTGTAATAACCTTCAGACCTCCCTGTCTCCTCCAAAGCTTTCTGAGCCTCATCCGGTTTTTGCAAGGCGGTGGCTGGGCACTTGTGAGCTTTCAAGATAGGGTTTTCAGATTACGCGTGCGCGGTGTGTAATAATAAATGCATCCCTGTTTTAATTTTGTGACACTTGACCTTGAGGATTTACACCGATATTCCAGGGACGCTTCCCCTTGTTCAAACTGTTTGGGATTCTCCTTTTGAGTCTCCGGCATATTCTTTGGAAATCTTTCCATGGTAAAAGACCACTGTTTGTGGGCAGGCGTAATTTTTAGAGTAAAAATTACTTTGAGCCCAGAACGGTAACTAAGGTTGGTAATCATATGGGTCACGCGCACAATTGGGATAAAAACAATGAAGTGAGATTTATATTATGCGATGGGTGCCATACTGCCCTTAGTCCCGGGTAAGGGAGTGTCCCGATATTGGCCCATGACTCAGAGGGCCCTGCATAGATGACACACGCATTAAAAAAGAAAAAAGCAGGTGGACCGTCGATCACTCAGGGTCTAGAGCAAGCACAGTGCAGTACAACTCACATCCTTAAAGCATCTGCCCTCACGAGTTATTCTGTTCTGGCCCCAGGGAAGTACTTCTGGACAATTTCTGTGCAATACCCTTGATGTCTTTGAAACCAAAGGCAAACGCCAATGCTGTGGGTTTATGCTGCTGCCTGCACTGCTCTGGAGACAGCGGGTTTGGAGCAGGGGATGTGCTCAATACAAGAAAACAGAGATCAATAAGCGAGTCCAATGCGTTGTCTTGGAGAGCTGAATGCAATGGTTTCTTACTCCAGGAAGTATCATCTCCCAGTTAGCGTCTGTCTATTTCACCCATGTCTTCATGTTACTACTTGTGATCGAGGAGGCAGTTCATGGTGCCTGAGAATGATTTTGCAATATTAAGTATTAAGCGATTCATGTTACTTTTATTTTTTTTTATTTTTCTTTCTTTGTTTTTATAGAGAGAGCGCATGCACACAAGCAGGGCAGGGGTAGAGGGAGAGAGAGAATCTTAAGCAGGCTCCACACCCAGTGCAGAGCCCAGTGTGGGGCTTGATCCCGCAACCCTGAGATTATGACCTGAGCCGAAATCGAGAGTCGGATGCTTGACCGACTGTGCCATCCAGGTGCCCCGTGTTACTTTTAAATGTATGTGTAGGTCTCGATGTAATGTGTGTGAAGTATGATTCTAATGTTTTATAGTAGCTACAAATGGACATTGAAGACTAACACTGTGAGTAGCTTTATTTTTAGAAATATTTAATAACGTTTAATGAAAATCTCAAAAAAATTGCAACTTCAAATATTTGCTTTAAATTTTAGTATTCGCTAATTATAATTTGTAATCTGCCGTTTATATCAAAAGATGATTTTAAAAGTTTGGGGGAAAAAATGACTTCTTTGGAAAGTATATATATAAATAACTTTAGTTTTTAAATTTGTTGCTTTACATTTTTATGAAAATGGATTTAAATTACATATACCTCAATTACAAATTCACTTCGTTTTTTAATCTTTTAAGTTGTTACCATCAACACAACACGAATGATGTGCAAATCTTGATTAGTACAACATAACCAGTGATTTTTACTGATAGGAAGACAAAGAAATGTTCTGAAATAATTTATAAATTATATGTTTTAATGTTTTTACCCATCCAAGTTTGCCAACCCATCAGCAAAATATCCAAGCTTATGAAATAATAATTAAACTCAGTTGCCTTTGATATTTTGCTGACTTCCAGCCATACAAAATCCAAAACTTTCACATAGTGTTTCCCCCCCCGCCCCCCCCGGCTTTTATTATGAAGGTATATTTGTCAAGTGAGAAGGATGGGACATTGTTTATTCAACCGTAAGTTTGATTTATAAGTTTTAATTATTTAGCCATACGATATGTGCATCTCAACTTAAACTCTTGCCCCAGGCTCTGCAAATGGCAGGCATGGTCTGGGGCTTTAGAGCAAACGGATTCTAATCCTGTTTGGAGTACTGCCATCATAATGGTGATGCTTCCAAAGATGACCACTAAGGACAACACTCACTTGCAGAGACATATCTATTTAAAACTACTCATTTGTCTTTATGGCAGTATTTCCTTATCGCCGGTCACATGTTCAGCATGAACAATAGATAGATGTGTTCCTAAAAGGTAATGTGCAAATTGGACTTCCTGAGTGATTTACGGGACTCACAGTTGGTCAATTTTGTTTTTTATTTTATTTGTATCTTTTATTTTTTTAATTGATTACAAAATTTTTATTTTAGAGAGACAGATCGGAGAGAGAGAGAGCATGAGAAAGGGAGGGTCATAAGGAGAAGGAGAGGGAGAGGGAGTCTTAAGCAGGCTCCACACTCAGCACAGAGCTGAGACATGGGGCTCGATCCCATGACCTGAGCTGAAATCAAGAGTTGGACGCTCAACCGACTGAGCCACCCAGGTGTCCCCAGTTTTGTATTTTAGAGCAAATATTCTTTATAAAGCAAGTTATCACCTTCTAATTTACATATTTTTTGAAATCTGTGCTTGCTTTAAGTGATGGTTCAGCCCTGAACACCCATTAGAATCATCTGGAGTGGGTTTAAAAATTTTGATGTACTGTCCCACCCCAGGAGATTTTTTATCTAATTGGTCTGGGACAGGGCCCAGGCATCAGTATTTTATTAGTGTGCTTTTATGTATTTTTTGCTTCCAAGCTTCACTTTGAAATAATTATAAAGTCACAAGGAACTGCACAAAAAATAAAAGAAAAAAGTACAGGGAAGCCCCAGGTGCCCTTCACCCGGCGTCCCCCAGTGATTATCTTGCATCACCGTAGAACAATATCAATTCCGAGAAAATGTCACTCTGCAGAGTATATTCAGATTTCAGGTTTACACACGCTCGTGTGTGTGTGTGTGTGTGTGTGTGTGTGTGTGTGTGTGTGTATGTATTTATGCAGTTTTACCACAGGTGTAGATTCATGTGACCACCGCCACAATCAACATACAGAACTGTGCCGATCCTACAAGCCTCACTCCCTGCCCCCCTCCCCCAACATCTGGCAACTGCTGATCTGTTCTCTATTCCTATAATTTGGTATTTCAAGAATGTTATGGAAATGGGATCATACAGTACATAACATCTTGAGATTAGCATAACTCCCTTGAGAATCATATAAACTGTTGCACTATCAACATTTGTTCCCTAGCGGTCCATGGAATGGATGTACCCCGGTTTATTTAACCGCTCATCCATGGAGGGTGTATTTGGGTAGTTTCCAGTTTGGGCCTGTTACGAATAAAGCTGCCGTAAACATTCATGTAACAGGTTTTTGTGTGGAGCTTGATTTTCATTTCTCTGGCACAAATGACCAAATGTGGCATTGCTGGGTCATTTGACAAGTGTGTGTTTAGTTTTATAAGAAGCTGCCAACGCTTTTCCAGAGTGGCTGTACATTTCCACCAGCAATGTATGACTAATCCAGATTCTCCCCATCCTTGCCAGCATTTGGTGGTGTCGCTATTTTTTTTTTTTTTAGTCATTCTGATAAGTGTGTAGCACAATTTTATGGTTT